GCGGGGAGGGGGCGATGCGAGCGCATCTCCTCCCGCGGTCGCGGCGCAGCCTAGCTGATTTGGTGTGGCTGTGGGTGCCGTGACGTGCGGCTCTAGGCTCCAATGGGAGAGAAAAAGGGGACTGTTGGGCTGATTTTTTGTCACACCACAGGACACCCGCCAGTCTATGTCGTGTCACTCTCGATCACTATCTCGTGTCCGCACCCTCGCAGCCGCCCACCCCTCCTGCCGCCCTGCACTCCCCCCGGCGACAAGTGGCTCGATCCCGGCGGCTGCGGCAGCGGCAGGCGGCGACGCCAGAAGTGGCTGCTGCCCGGCGGCGCGCAGGAGCAGCGTGATCACCACGTGCGCGGCGATGAGGCCAGCAGAAGCGCAAGCGGCGACAAGATAGAGCGCGCGCCCTCCGCTGTGGCCAAATGCTCGGCCATGCTGCAGGAAGGAGCCGCCGAGGAGGGAACCGGCGGTGCGGCCGGCACACCACATCGCCGAGTTCAGGAGGAGCATGCCTGAGGTCTGCCACGCGGCGGGCACCTCCGCCTTGACCTGTTCACCGCCACAGGCGTGAAGAGGCGCTGTTCACGGCAGCGAGACGCGCACCACCCGGCCCCGACCTTGTCCACGGCGGCGGTCCACGAGAGCGCGTACGTGATGCCGTGGAGCGGCTCCAGCGCGAGCAAGGCCCAGACTGTGTGCGGCTGGAGGCAGGAATAGCCGAAGACACGCAGCGCGTAGGCGAGGAGTGAGAGGAGGACCATGGCCTGACCGGAGCAGCGGGTGTGATGAGGCGCTCCTCGCAGCAGGCGGGCAGTGGGAGGAGGGGCAGGGCCTCGTGGCCGAGCGTGCGCAGCAGCGCGTCTCCGAAGTGGAAGATCGGCACCTCGAAGATAACGTTCACGGCGACGGAGTAGCCGCACAGGCTCTGCGAGCCTCCCAGCTCTTTGATGATGAAGACGAAGATGAACTTCTCGACCACCGTGAACGCGAGGCCGATCGCCATCATCTCGCAGAGGAAGAAGACGAAGCGAGGCCGGAGCGCTGCGCTGGCCAGGCTGGCGGCCTCCTCCGCCTCCGCCTCTGCCACGCCGGCCTCCGCCTCCGCCTCCGCCTCTGCCGTCTCCGCCTCAGTGGTGGCGGCAGCAAGTGTCGCGTCGGCGGGGACGGCAGGGAGCTGGCGAGAGGAGGGGGAGCAGTCCTCGGGACGCTGCAGCGGCTCGCGCACGCTGTCGGCGGCGGCAGCCAGGCCGTCGGCGCGGCGGGCGGCGAGGTGGCTCTGCTGCAGCTGCCTCTGCTGCAGCTGCCTCTGCTGCAGGATGCGCCGCTCGCCGCGCGTCCTGCTCGGCAGCGCGGCCCCCATTAACCCGATCGCGAGCAGGTTGAGCGCGCCGCTGACGACGAAGTTGTAGTCGAAGCCGAGATGGTCGGCGACCCACCTGGGGAGGGGTCCGAGAGAGGGTGCGAGGAGGGTCCGAGGGAGGGTCCGAGAAGGCTCCTCGAGCCGGAAGGCGGGGAGTGGTCGGCCGCGCGCCCCATCAGCGCGTTGCCGATGCCCCACGAGACAGCGAGCCAGAGGCGGTACCGGCCGTACTCGCCCCGCCGCTCGTCGCCGAGAAGGTCGAGCGTGTACGCATCGAGCACCTGTCCACGGCTGCCGACGTGACGAGAGGTTTTCTGCAGCAGGTCGCACGGAACGCGTCGAGAGCGCGCGCCCCTCCTCCGACGGCGAAGAAGGCCATCGCCACCATTATGGCGAGGATGTACGGGAAGGTGGCACGCGGCAGGCCCACCTGTCGACGGGAAACGGCTTACATGTGGCCGAGATGCAGCCGAGATGCAGCCGAGCTGCAGGCTTCACCCAGTGAGGCATCGGCAGCGCGAGCAGCAGGGCGGTGCTGACGGCCCGTGCGACGAGGGCGACCGCTTTCTTTCGCTGCAGCGAGTCGGAGAGGAGGCCGAAGAGCTGATTGCCGAGCAGCGCGACGATGGGCTGCGCGCCCTCTGCACGGAGACGGGCCGGACACCACTGTAACTAACAGCCGTTCGCTGGTGTGGGGAGGGCTAGGTTGCGTTGCTGTTACGCTGGTGGCGTTTGCCCGCCTACAATGCCGATGCGATGCGCGTCGAGGCCCGAGTCGAGGTAGAAGAGAGTGGCGAACCGGCCAAACGACGAGGCGGAGAACCCGCTCAAAAAGTACAAGACCTTCATGAGCCGCAGCAGGTGCGCTGTGGCTGCGTAACGGTGCACTGGAGCCTCAGCCACTCGGGCCTCAGGCGCCACCATGGCTCACGCGGCTCTGGCGCCACGGTGCTTGTCGGTGCTTGTCGGTTGTCGTCGCTTGCCCACGGTTGCGTCGGTTGTCGCGGCTCGGCGCCACGGTTGCGGGATGTGCCGACGCAGAATTGTTTCTTTTCTCGCTTCCACTTACAAACCGGCCTGGCAGTGCTTCACCTTCGTCCTACCTATCTACACCTTTAACAGATTACTCACGAAATTGTCAGACTAGACTAGCAGAATCCTTGACGCAAATTGACGATCACTCGATCAGCCCGGTCCTCCTTTGCCACAGAGTCTGACTCGGCGCTCTCCCTCTTATCACGCATTACGTGCTGCAGTCATGGGGACGACCCGAGATAGCGCGCCGCAAACGCACTGCGCGGCGACCCTCGCGTCGCTGGCGAGCCGGGGCTGGCGCCCGCCAGCGGGGCGGCGGCCCTCCCGCCCGCCGCCCGCTGCATCGACCGCATCTCGCGCTCCAGCTCGGCGACCGACCCCTCGAGCGCCTTGACGGACGCCTGCAGCGAAGCGCGCAGCTCGCCCGCCGCCTGCTTGTGCTCGCGCGACTGCGACTGCAGGCCCGACAGCGCGCGCCCCACCTCGCCGAAGCGCTGGCCGAGCTCCTCCGCCGCCTCCTCCGACTGCTGCAGCCTCGCCTCCGCCTGCCGCACGCTCGCGCGGCACGCCTCGACGTCGTCCTCCGCGCGGCGCAGCTGGCTGCCGTACTCCTCGAGCGAGCTGCCGATCTCGCCCGCGCGGTTCGAGATGGCCATGAACTGCTCCGCCTCACGCGCCAGCACCTGTTCACGCCGCGACGCCGTGAAAGAAAGCACGGCTCCGGCCCTCGCCACACGCGAGCACCTGCTGCTCGGTCGTCTTGCGCGCCTCCTCCGCCTCGGCGCGCAGGACCTGGAACTCGGCCATCAGCGACTGCACCGCCTTTGCGCCTGCCTTCCGCACCTCCTCCTCGGCCGCCTCGACGGACGCGAGCTTGCGGCCCGCCTCGGCGTGCGCCTCTCGCTGCCTCGCCGTCTCCTCGCGCAGCTCCTGCTGGCACCCCGCCGAGTGATACTCTCTGTCAATGACTGGGTCGTCACTTGTTCGTGAGTCGCTCCTGCTGGTACTCGGCCACGACTCGCGTCGCCTCCGCCTGCGGGAGGAACTCCGCCTTGAGAGGGTGCGGATGGCTAGCCGAGGCCTGCCCGAGACCTGCCCGAGGTGTGAGAGGAGGCGGCCTCCGCCTGCGCCAGCACCTCCGCCTTGAGCTCCTCCGTCGCCCGGCTCCGCTCGCGCGCATCCTCGACGCAGAGGCGCCACCTGCCACCAGCACGCGCTGTGAGGAGACGACGAGCACAGCACCCATCCCGCCATCGGCACACGCCGCCGCCCTCCCCGCCGCCTCGCGCCGCCGTTGCCACAGGAAAGTGTCTACGCAGCGTCGGGAAGTGTCCCGGCAGTGTCCCTTTAGTGTCTAGGAGGCGCGCCTCTCCGCCGCCTCGCGCCGCAACGTCTCCACGTCGGCAGACAAGCCGCGCGCCCACTCCTCCGCGCCTACACGGCGGCTACCCAGACGCTCGAGCAAGGCTGCAGGCACCGCCCCACCCTGCCCCCTCCTCCCGCACCGCGCGAGTGCTCCTCGAGCAGCGCACGCGTCTGCGTCAGCTCGGCGTCCTGGCGATCCGCGCCGGCCTGCAGCGCCGACCGGGCCTCCTTGAGCGGCGTGATCTCCGCACGCAGCTTCGCCGCGTCGCTGTGCACGCCCTCAATCTCCGCGTCGACCAGGTTGGAGAGGGCTCCGAACGCACGCTTGATCTTGGCCATCTCGCTGCTGAGGTGACTGCACGTCTCGCGCAGGTCAGAGTTGACGCCGCGGAGGTGCGCGTTCTCCTCCGCCAGTGCGGCCACCTGAGACCTGACCGCCGCCAGCTCCATCGTGCCCAGCGGAGAGCCGCCCCAGCCAGCGGCGGTCGGCTGGAAGGCGGCGGCCGGCGGATGCGGCGGCGGATGCTGCTGCGGGTACGGCGGCTGGTGGTGGTAGGGATGCGGCTGCTGGTAGGTGGGAGGCTGGTGCATGCTCGGGTGGAGCTGAGGAGGCGACAGCATTGGGGAGGGCACTCCCTGGGCCGTTGGAATTCGTTCGACTTTTCTGGCGCTGGGGTGAGAGCCTATCGAACGGGGTGGGTTAGGGTGGTTTAGCGCCCCCTAACCCAGGGCGGTTTAGCGTCGTTTACCCTAGACGGTCACTAAACACGCCTAAACGATGCTAAACCGCCTTGACAAATGGTCTGCCTGGCCGGGGAGCTCCGTTTAACACTAAACCGCCGTAAACCCCTCCACAAGTTTCGCGCGCGTCCGCACAGCCTCCCGCGTCACCTCTCCTCTACCGTCAGACATATGCCAGCTTCTCCCACGGCCGCGCGCACCGCCACCGACACCGCAAACGGCGCGAGTCCGCCACCGTCGCCTTCCCCCGAGTCTCCGCTCGCCGCCTCCCGCGAGGAACTCAACGCCACCCTCACCTACATTCGCGTCACGCCCAACGGCAGCATTGCAGCCGCTGTCGGCTCCGGTGACGCGAGGCCGGAGACCGACCCGGGGTGGGAGGCGCACAAGGAGCAAGCCCGCCAGGCCCGCGAGGGGCAGGAGACCTCCTCCACCCCGACGCGCTCGCCAGGAGAGGCCACCGACCCACCCGCACAACTCGAGGCCGAGCCGGCGGCGGTCGCCGAGGGCGGACCCGGAGCCGGGACCGAGACGGGAGGGGAGGAGGCACGCCCCCCGAGCGGGGCGGCGGTCGAGGCCGGCGGAGCCGACGGGACCGAGCCGGAGGGGCAGGCGGCGGTCGATGGGGTTGGAGCCGGCGCAGCCGAGCCGCCGCAGCCCGAGCAGGAGCCCGCTGCCCAGGAGGCGGCCGACAAGCCCGCTGCCGAGGAGACGGTGGTGGAGATCGACCAGCCTCTCGTGCTGACGCTCACGGGCACGTCCATCATCGTGACCTACGCCGGCGTCGCTTCGAACAGCGCGTACCTCTTGCCGGGCGGCATCGGGATGAAAAAGGGGCCGCACCCCAAGACCGAGCTCCAGTTCCAGCAGGAGTTTCCGCTCGTCTACTTCAAGGACGCCACCACGTTCAAGGACTTCGCTGACAAGGCGCTCGGAGGCCGCCTGGAGCTCGACGCCCGCTCGCTCGTGGGGCCCATCAAGGTGGTCACTCACGGCGAGGCCCAGTCCCTTGGCTGCCTCTTCATGAGCAAGCCCGAGTACATGCCGCCCGACAACCCGCTGGTGGTCAAGCCCGAGGCGGGGGCGGGGGGGGGCAAGGCGATCACCCTCCTTCTCGCCGCCGAGGAGCTCTTCCGCGCGCGCGTCTCGGCTGGCCGGTCGATCTTCGACCGCTTCACGGACGGCGCACAGGGAAAGCTCGGCCACCCGCTCACCGACAAGATCATCAAGACCATCTTCGGCCACACGGCGACCACGATCAAGGTCGCTCTGGGGCGCTCAGAGAGGCACAAGGCGACGCGCGACTGCAAGGTGCTCTCCACGGTCGAGAGAATCTGCGAGAGGCACCAAAAGAGCAACTTCGCGCAGCTTCCTGTGGAGCTGGCGGCGTCGGCGCAGGCCTCGAAGCGCCAGCGCTCGTCGGTCAACGTCGACGCCGACTTTCTCGCCGCCTCCGACGAGGACGAGACCGGCTCGCAGGAGACTGGCTCGCGCAAGGTGCGCAAGCGCACCTTCCTCTCGCTCCCGGTCAAGCGCTTCATCGACACCTACTTGGACACGTACAACAGCCTCGCTGGCCAACCCACCGCGCGCCAGCGGCTGCGTGAGCAGATCAAGACGGAGGCGGAGGCGTCCCTCGGGGATGAGGTACGCGCTGTTTGCCTGACCACCGGGGCCACGGGCAACATCGCGAACCGCCTGCACACCGCGCAGACTGCGGCCAAGAAGAAGGCGGAGGAGGCCGCGGCGGCCGACGGCGCTAACCACTAGCGACGCCACCTCTCCGGCGGTGTCTCAGGATGCCTCCAGCGATACTTACTAGACGTACATAGATGGACAGCACGTATAGGGTACTCGACAGTGTCCATTGCTATAGCGTACTCAACTAATGTCCATTGATTGCGTTAAAATCACGAGCTCAGAGTTTCAGGCCCTCCGGCCCGGCAAGGCAGCAGCGTGCACACTTGCAGTGCGACACACGCGCCTCCATCAGCCGGACAGAGTCGTCCGGCAGACCGACGAGAACCTCCTCGCCCGCGTCGTAGTGGACTACAAAATGGTACTTGGTCGCGCGCGGTCGGTGCTGGACGATGGTCGCAGGATACCACTGTGTCTCGCCATACTCGTCCAAGTACGTCGCCATCACCCGCCGTCCCACGAGCGCCGCACGTGCTCCGCCTCCGGTGGCTGATGCGGCGTGATCGATCGTTGCGCTAGTACTTGCCGCGTGCAGCACGTGCACGCGCCTCGGCGTTGACCGCGGCAACCTGGGAGGAGGCGCCAAACAAGGAAGGCCGTCTGCTCGTCGATGACGGCGCCCCACTCGGCAGGCAGCTACTGAAGCATCCAGAGAGTCCTCGCCCGGACGACGAGGGGCGTCCCAATGCTGTGCTGTGCGCTTTGCTGCGCGTGTGACGCTCGTACTCCGCCTCCGAGACGTGGAGCTGCAACTCAAAGCCGCACTTGCATACCAGCCGCTTGCGCGGCACTTCCTCGCCGTGCATCCGTGTTCTCTCGCGCTGCTCGATTCCGCCGTTGGCCAGCTCGCGCTCCAGCCAAGGCGGCGTGGACGCCATCCGGCTAAACGGCCGATCGTCGGATAAACGACTACTAAACAGGACTAGTCCAGCCCGACAAATGGTGGCCGCAGGCCGGATCAACTCCGTTTAGGCGCGTTTAGTGACCGTTCAGGGTAGACAACGCTAAACCGCCCTGGGTTAAGGCCCCCTAACCCGCGCTAAACGGTGTTAAACTGATACGTTCGATAGGCTCTCTGGGGTGCCGGCCTTTTCGCCTCTCGAGGTTCTCGAAGTGGATATCCTTTGGCCGCGTTGGCTAGCGAGGATTGGTGTAACCCGAGCCACGGAGGCGTGTTTTCTGACGGCCGACCGTCAGTGCACGGAGTTGCCCCTTCTCCGACTGCCCCGGCTAGTTCCCGAGGTCGTCGGTCGGGAGTGAGTGACCCCTTCGCGCTGGGTGCCGTCCGGCGCGTCCTTTTGTTTTTTCGATCTTTCGCTGCGGGTGAATTCTGGCCAGCCTCCCCCCTCCGTGTTGCGATGCGCTCCCCGCCCGCTCGCTCGCTCCCGGCGCCGGCCCGCTCCCCTGTGTCCTGATCGTCCATCCAAGATCCTGCTCGTGCCCAGGTGTGGGGACCCTGTCCTTCTCCCAGCTCCCACCGCCCTCCCTCGACCGACCCTCGTTTGTTGCGGTTTGGCGTGTGCGATTTATTTTATTTATACTCTCGAATGAGAGTGAGTGAGAAAGAGAAGAGTGTGTGTGTGTGTGCGACGGTGTGTGTCTGTGTGTGGCTCTGTGCTTGTAAACGGCGCAATGAACAATCGAATGCTAAGTGGAGAAGCTGCTACGCTCTACACATGTAGGTGGTGACGAGTAGAAAAGTGTGTGTGAGTCGCGTCACCCGAATGCCGCGGCCTGCGCGGCTGCGACGGCAGCTGCACCCTCCTTGCCAAGACCCGTGATCCCTGCCGTGACTGCCCCGGTGAGCGCCATGGTGCGCATGCCGGTGGCGCCACGGAAGTCGGATCCGCTGAGGACCGCCTCGTTAAAGTTGGAGCCGGCGAGCTTTGCGGAGGCGAACGAAGACGACTCAACCACGGCAGCTTCAAAGATGGCGTTGCGGAGGTCGGCGCCGCGAAAGTCGGCGCCGACCAGGGCGGCCTCGCGGAAGTCGACCCCCAGCGCGTCCGCCGACCGGAAGGTAGCGCCGTCGCCCGACGCGCCGACGAACTTCGCCCCCTTGAGACGCGTGCCATCCAGGTTGGCGCAGTCCATGTTGACGCCCGTAAAGTCGACGCCCTCGAGGTTGCGGCCCGATAAGTCCGCGTTGATCAGGTCCTGGCACGGGCCGCCCCCGTGCCGCACCGCCGCGGCGACGTCGAACCCGGGCACGAGGAACGGGCAGCAGCCGCAGTTCGGGCTTATGGCCTTGTGTCCGCATACCTTGGTGTGGAAGGCGATGCGCAGCGGCGAGGACGGCGGCATCGGCGGCGTCGATGTCAGCCACAGCGGCACCGACGCCGCTGCGGCCGGATGAGCGACGCCGACGGCCCACGTGCCGCCATTGCTGACGCAGGCCTGCTCGGTCGCAGCCGGATAGCGCACCAGGTCACGGCACGCGCCCTTGTAAAGGCAGCCAGAACACGGCGGCGAGGACGGCAGCGGTGGAAAGGGCGGCGGAGGCGGAGCCGGCAGCGGAGAGCGCAGCGGCACCCCGCTCGGCGGCAGGGGGAAGAGTAGCGCCGGTGGGGGCGGTGGGGGCGGCATGGCGGCGATGAGGGAGGCGGCTGCAGTCGGCGTCGGCAGGGAGATCTGGTAGGCGAGAGGGCTCGCGTCCTGGCGCACCTTGCAGATGTAGCCCGCGAGCGGGACGGACTTGGAGATCGGCTGCGTCTGCAGCTCGCACTGGCCGGCGCTCTGCCACTCGTAGCCTGTGCACCGCGGTTCCAAGACACACGCCGTCTCGCAGTCATGCACGCCGGCGAGCCAGTACTGCAGCACGAGACCGCCACCAGCGCGGCCCCTGCCGCGAAAAAGAGCGGCAGTCGACGGGTTGGCGCTGGCGGATACGAAGCAGAGCCCTTCCGACCCTCCCGTCGGCGCGAGGAAGTGCGTCGTCTTGCTCATCGGTAGGGCCGAGAGACGGAGCCTCGGCGTTTCGCCAGACGCCGAAGACACAGAGCCAAAGATGACCGCTGCGTTGTTCAGACGCCGAAGACACAGAGCCAAAGACCGCCCGGAAGATCGTTTCGAAAATCCCCCTAGGAGATGTTCCTCGACCCCAGCCTCGAGACCCCTCCCAGCCCTAGCTTGCTGCGCGTTTTCTTTCTTTTTGCGGTGATACAGTCGCGCTGGCCAGGAGGCAGTGACCAGACGCGAAGGGCAACGCTGGAACTGTGGCGGAGGAGAAGTCGACCCACCTTAGGCCGGACGGAAGTGGGTGGGTAGCCGTAGAATCTAACTCGCGATAACTCGCTGGGCAAGGGGGCGCTGGCGCGCATTGGCACTAATGCAAAAACCAAAAAACACGAACGTTAAATTTGTTCGGTATCTTGGAGCACTTAACAGTCATTAACTTCACACCCACAGGGCCGGGGAGCCAAGAGAAGCGCACCCAGCGGGCCGGATGCTCGGGGATGGGTTGCGGGCAAGAGAGCCCTAAGCCCTGGGGGGGGTGCGCGTTCGCAGGGAGGGGGCCATAGGTAAACACGGGTCTCCGAGGATTCGTCCGCGCTTTGGGTTCCCCTAGGCCTAGCGGCGGAGCGCCCCCTCTACTCGGAGCTAAGAAACACCAGACGCGCACACGACGCACATCCCCACTCGACGTCACCCCTGCACCCCTCAAGGCCCCTCCGCTCACGGCTCGGCCTCCCCACCCTCGATCCGGAGGGGCTCCCCTCTCCTCCCGGTCCTCCCTCCCGTTCGCTCCCCGCTGGTTGGGCAACGGATGCGGGCCCGCCTCCCTCTCCTCCGCTTCTTCGGCCGCGGCCCTGCCGCCGTCTCGCCTTCTCTGCCAGCGCTCCTGTTGATTCCACGGCCGGCGATCCCGTCCCCCCGTCCCCCCCGTATGCCGTATCGGGCTAAATCTCTCTGTATGTAGAAAGGAGAGGGCAAGAATTTCGTCAGGGAGGGGGGAAAGGAAACAAATCGGAAACGAATCGGAACCCGGAAACGCGCATAGCGGAGCATATACAACGCGCGCACATCTAGGTACACCACACGAAAAATAAAAAGGAAGAAAAGAGACGCGAGCCACCACAGGGGCAATTCAATCTGAATCTCCCCGCCGTGGGTGCCTTCCTTTGATCTTTGAGCCGAGCAAAAGGGCTGATCTAAATGAGTAGCAGATGAAATTGTGGTACCGGGGTCCGGGGCGAGAACACGCGTCGATGGAACGCACACAGAGAACGTCAGAGAGACTTAACTGCCTCCACGGCCCGCCCGGCCTCACGTCACCATCCGCACGGATTTGAATGAGCTCCTGCGACCGCAGCCGAGCCCGCCCTCGCGGCGCCGCTCGAGGACCCCCCCTCGCGGCGCCGCTCGAGGACCCCCCCTCTCGTCGCCGCACGGCGCGAAGCTCCCCGAGGCCTTCAGCGCGCCCGCCGTGCGCCGATGGCCAAATCATGCGGGGCGCAACGAGCCCCCTCCCCCGAGAGTTCCGTGGCCTCGTCAAACCTGCAAACCGTGGTCCCCGCCCTGCACCGCCGGCCCATCGACGACCGTCGGCTGTGCCTGCAAGCGGCGTGGTGGACGCGTTGCGCGCGAGGTAGCGGAAAGAGAGGGGCAGAGCAGCGCTCTCTCTGGGCGGCGGCGGCATGGGTTGCGTGAGACTGTTTTTGCGGCGCGAAGCCTCACCTCGCGCGACATGTACTGGGCTGCGGTCGACGGGTTGGCCCTGCTGGACGGGGCGTCGGTGGGCTTGACGAGGCAGTTGATTGGCAGGATTAGCATCACGAACACCTATTCATGGCGACGAACTGAAGAGGCGCCGCTTGGCTGTGGGCTGGGGAGGCAGAGGCGCGCACCCAGACACAGATAGAGCAGTCCATCCCTGGTCCGGGCACCATGTCGATATCCTTCCGGGCGTAGACAGAATAGCTGCCGCCTGCAGCGCGCGCAAAGGCTGGAGCGTCGGACGGGGCTGGCACGAGGGTGAAGTGTAGCGTCCTCCTGGCCGCCATCCCGACTGCACATCGTGTCTCGCCGTCAACCTCTCGCTAGCGCGTACGTGGCAGGCAGTTGGCCGAGAAGGTGCCAAAGGTAATGACGAGGAAGAGCCACGCCAGGCAGAGCGATATCGTCGCCCCCTTCTGCCTCTTTGGCGAGTCAGCCAGCCGGCGCGCGGTGACGAAGCAAGCAGCTGCGAGGGTGGCAAAGAAGGCGACGATTGTGCAAAAGCCCAGCCAGTGCTTGAGCGAGTTGGTTCGGCAGACCTGCGCCGGAGGCCGTGGGAGCGTGACAATCGTCGGAGGGCCGTGGGAGCGTGACAATCGTGGCCAGCTCCGATGGCGCCAAGGCGATCTGAGCCGCGCGCCTTGTCAAAGAACTCGTCGTCAGGCAGGGTGCCATTGTCAGTCGGAAAGACGAAGTCGTCTTTGCACTCGTCCAGGTCCTCCCACTTTTTGCACTCGAGGTCGCTCGACGTCACGACACCCTCGTCCTCGCTCACGAAGAGGTTCGGCTTGGAGCAGAGGCCGTGGAAAGAAATCACCACGTAGTTACTGAGGGCGGTGAGGGCGGCGGCGGTGTTGGAAACGGCGGTGAGCGCCGGCGAAAGCGGCAGTGAGGGAGAAGAACAATAAGAAATAGATGTTCGAGAGGAAGTGGAGGAGAGAGGCAACAGAGCTCAGAGGCGGAGTAGCGGCGGTGTGGCCTCCACCTGTCTACGTAGGTGTCTGTCCCCCACGAGGCGCCCCACACCTGCGGCCAAGGCCACTGCGTGAGCGGGAGGACACAGAGGCGAGAGGAGGCCGCCACAGGCGGGCCGAGGCGACTCCGATCCCACGCAAGGACGGCACTGGTGTCGAAGGGCCGGCGCGCTCGAGCGGCGCGGCTGGCAGGAGGCAAGCACGCACGCCGCGCCAAGGCGAGGCCGGCATCTGACGTGGTGCTTTACGGCCGTGTCCCACCCGCGAGGAGAATATCGCGCACACCGGCCTCTCGCGTCGGGACGCGGCTGGCCAGGGCTCCGATGGGGCGCGGGACAGCGGAGGCGGCGCGGCGCACTGCATTGCACTGGGGGGAAGGGTGGCCGGGCGCGCAGAGGCGCGGGCGAGGAGGGGCACTTAGGGATGGCGCCCTGGCAACGTGTCCCTGACGGAGGGGCATGGCGGCTGCGGCTATTGGCTTGGTGGGCGCACCGTGCTCGGCACAACTGACATCCCGCAGAGGGCGACGATAAGGAGGATGACCGAGAGCCAGAGCAGGAAGATCATGGAGTGGATCCAGCATTGGCGGTTCTCCTTGAGGCACTTCATCGCCGCGCCGGGACCGCGCGCTCGCGTTCCCTTGCCGCCTCCGCAAGGCCTCCGGCCGCGTCAACAGGACCTTGCTTGGCCCCACGGGCGCTTTTTACCTTACCCCGGGCGCACAATCTTTTCAAGCTTTACGGCGCTTCGGCAGCAGCGAAGGTTGTTGTTTTGTTGTGGGTGGGTCGTCGCCCCTGTCGCCTGTCTGTTGTTGTGCTGTTGTTTGTCTCTTGGCACCTTGGAGTGCTGGGGGGGGCGACAGGGGGCACGTGGCCTGAGTGATGTGTACGCCCACTCAGGATGTGTGGCAGCGGCCCGCTGGCTGTGTGTCTTGTGAGCTTGTTTGTGTCTGTGTGTCGCTCGTGCGTGTCGTCATCATCTGTCCAGCGTCCACCCATACCGCGTCGGTGTCCAGTCCGAGCCTGTGTTCTTCACCTTCCTACATACATACATACTGCATGCATGCTGCTGGGTTGCAGCGCAGCAGCTGGCGGCGGCAGCGGCAGCAGCGCAAGCAACAGCAGCGGCGAGCAAGCGCACGCAGCCTCGGGGGGGGCCACCGTCCACACATTATGACCGCGCAAGATATAAAGGGTGGCTAAGGGCTCTGCACGCAAGGCGCCCGCGTCCGCAGACGCGGTACCATTGACAAATCTGAAATATACCAAGACTTTCGTAAATTGAAGCCAAGAACGTCCGCCAAATCCGTGCTTTCGGAGCAACTGAGGGAAGCCGCTGATCGAGCCCAGCGTGCCCGAGCCCATGCACCGGGCAAAGAAGGACGCTGCAGAAGCGGTTGGAGAGGCAGCCGGCGTCTGCCGTCACAACGAGTCCCAGCGCTGGTTGGAGATGCGCGTCGGCTCGCCCGAGGACTGCTGTCGCGACCCTCCGCCGTCGTGCCGCAGCATCCGACGAGCTCTGAAACCGAGGAGAGTGAGGGTACGCCTCCCCTCACTGCTGGCCTGGCTGCGCACCGCCCCACAAAGTACCCCCCGTCGAGCATCTCTACAAGTACAAGTACAAGGGCGACCTTCTCCAAGTCGTCAACGCGCCCGGCGGCTCCGGCAAGACTTTAGCCTTGGCCACCCTCCTTGCGGAGCAGGAGGAGATCCGCTCTCGGTCGGCAACGTGGCAGCTAGTCGAGGGACACGGTAATGTGGACCCCCGGAAGTGTCTGTACTGGGGACAGGAGAGAGAGAGCTTTTGTGGTGTTGGTGTGGATCCCTACGCACAATAACGGGACAGGGTAGTCGTTCTCTCTAGCTCCCCTTCTACCTCTTAGCATGAGCTGCGCCCTGTGTCCGACCCCTTTTGCGCAGCAACACCTTAAACTTTTAGGCCCTCCAAATTCGGGTCGGAGCGTAGCGGGGTGGGCCCCGAGTTTGAAAAGGGCGACGGACGCTTGCGTCCTAGCCTCCAACAACGCCTCCCCGGCGCAGAGGGGCCCCCGGAGGGATGCGCAACCGCTCCACACCACGCCGCTTGCGGCGGTCCTATTCCCAGCTCCGCTGAGGGCCCGCGCGTTATTTTTACGACTGGCACGAATTCGGTCTAGCAGCGAGCCGGGCGCCGCCTCGGCAGCGCCGCCGCAGCTGCACGAGGTGTACGCCGAGCACCAGGCGGAGCTTCCACGGCTGCCCATCCCGCCGCTCGACGAGACCCTCGAGCGCTTCATGCGGGCGGCGACGCCGCTGCTGGCCCTGCGCGGCGGCACCGCCGCCGTCAACGAGTCGACGCCGCCGCGATGGTGGCCTCGTTCGGGGCGGCTGAGGGTGCGGCGCTCGACTCAAAGCTGCGCGAGTGGGACGAGGGCCCGGCTCGCGACGGCTCCTCAACCGAAGCAAGTTTCTCCCGTGCGTGCTTGGTGACAGACAGGCGCAAATAGGTTTTCTTCGGCGAGGCGTGTCAAGAGAGATAAGAGAGAGGCGTGTCCAACGGATGTCTAGAGATCCTCGGTCTTTGCCTCGACATAGAGATCCTCGACATAGAGATCCTCGTCAAGGCCTTGACGGCGCGGCAGCGCTTTTCTTTTACCTTGAAAGAATTCAGCGCGTGGCCCGACAAGACCGGACGGATCACCTCTAAAAGTTGAGTGAGAAGGGTGAGATGGGAGAATGGCAAGCCGTAGAAAAAGGGATTGAAGGAAAGAGCCTCCCGCACCATCCTGCCTCAAATCTAATAAAATGCGCGGGTCCCCACCTACTCGAGTAGACGGATCACTTCCGTTGGAAGGATCAGCGACATGTATGTATGTAGAAAGATGAACAACAGTCAGGCTCGGACTGGACACCAACGCGGTATGGGTGGACGCGGGACAGATGATGACGACACGCACGAGCGACACACAGACACAAAAAGGCTCAGGGAAAAAGAAAAAGAAAAAATCGTCCTCTCGCGCTGTGGGCTGCTCTCTGGCTCAGGACTCTCAGGCCGCAGTCTGAGTCGAGCGGAAAGAACGCATCACCTGCGTAACACACACATCGGCCTCCTCTCCGATGCCGGCGGCGCTCGCGCCCAAGGTCAAGAACCGCAAGCCATCCGCGGGACCACAGCTCGACGCTGAAGTGGCAGAGATCCTCTCGGACGCGCTCGACCCTCGCAACAAGTCGGCCGACACCTACAACGAGGACATCGTCGAGGCGCACACCCACGCACACCGCCATACCAACACACATCGCCGTGCCGCAGCCCACAGCTCGCGTGCTGCCGATTGCCGCGCCACCGCCGCCGCCACCACCGCTGCTGCCGCCGCCACCACCATCGCTGCTGCGGCTGCCGCCACCGCTGCCGCCACCGCTACCTGGCACGCTGTGCAGCACGAGCACGCACGGCCACATCCGCACGCTCTCCCGCTTGCAGGCCTTCAAGCGCGTGCCCAAGGAGAACATCGAGGCTGCGGCGGCGGTCTGCCGCGACATGGGCAACGAGGCCGTCAAGAGCGAGCGGTGGGAGGAGGCGGTCGAGCACTACACGTCTGTCCTCTCCGCCTACCCGCACGACCACGAGGCGCCTCCTTCCGGCCGTCAGCCATGCAGTCGCCACCCGTGACTGGGAGGCGCCGTCCGGTCGCACACTCCGAGTAGCAGCCGCTCTTCCCCTCCGACCCGACCCCAGGTGCTCGCTAATCGGTCGCTCGCCCTCCTCTCGCTCAAGCGCGGCCCCGAGGCGCTGCAGGACGCCGCGCTCTGCGTCACCCTCAAGAAGAACTTCGCAAAAGGGCGCGCCCTCGCACACTGCGCCCCTGCGCGAGCGGCGCGAGCGCGGGAGCAGCGCCGTGCGGCTGCGGGTAGGTACTACCGCTTCGGCTGTGCGCTCGAGGAGTGCAAGATGTACAAGGAGTGCGCGTCGGTCTTCGCAAAGGTGGTCGAGATGGAGCCGGGCAACGTCGAGGCGGGAGGGAGGCTGCTCAAGGCGAGATGATAGCCGAGATATAGCCGAGATATAGCCGAGATATAGCCGAGGCGGGAGGGAGGCTGCTCAAGGCGCGCGGCCGGTCGAGAGGGGGAGGGGGGGTGCGCTTAGACGGCGCCGATCTCAGCGGAGCGTCTCCCCACAGGCGCGCAACTTGCTCGAGATGGTGATGAACGTCGAGCGGGTGCGAGATTAGCCGAGATATAGCCGAGATATTGCTCGAGATGGTGATGAACGTCGAGCGGGTGCGCAGCTGCTGCTGCTGCAGCCTGCTGCTGCTGCAGACGCCCACGCGGGGCCTCTGTCGCCCATCCGCCCCTTCTACCGCCAGGTGAGCGACCCTCTGTGGATGCACAAGCCGGAGCCGCCGAAGAGCGAGGTGCAGAAGCGGGCGGAGGACGCGCAGGCGGAGCACGAGCGCGAGATGAGCCACTTGCGCGAGGAGATCGGCAAGGCGAGCTTCGACTACGAGTACCTGCACGCACCCATGTCCAAGTCGGACCGCTGGTACGAAGAGTCGATGATGGCCAAGGGCCTCAACATGCACCTCCTCGCGCACTCGGCCGTCCTCGCGCCGCGAGAGGAGCCGCACCGCTCGCTGCCGTCCGCCTCGGCGCGACCGCGGCTCGCAGCTCCGCCCCTCGCCCGTAGGAGCTCGCCCGGCTGATGGACGCCGCGCACGTCGACTCGTTCGCCGAGGCGATCCGCGAGCACGTGCCTCGCATGGTGCCGGCCGGACAGGCGCGCCGACACGAGATCTGCCGAGATCTGCCGAGAGCTGCCGAGAGCTGCCGAGAGATGCCGAGATCTGTGGCGGGTGCTGCTGCTTACGCCCTCCGCCACCACATCTCGGCACATCTCGGCCGCACCTCACCACCCGCTGGCAGGCGGGCGTGGTGCTGCTGCTGGGTGGGACGATGGGGCTGCTCCCCCTCCTCGCCCTCGAGGCTGGCGCCAACCAGGTGTACGTGTGCGAGGCGCCCGCTCTGCGCAAGAGAGGGCCGAGCTGCAGCGAGATTCAGCGAGATTCGGCGAGACTAGGCGCATGGCTTCTGCGCAAAGATGGCGCACGCGTCGGTGGGGAGGCACACGCTGCTCGCCTTCGAGCGCGAGAACTGGTCGCGGCTGCCGATGACCCTCGGCCTCGCGGAGCGGACGCGGCAGGCCGGCTCCGCGGCCTTCAAGATGGGGCAGTTCGACCAGGCGGTCGCGCTGTACACGGAGGCGCTGCAGGCGTGCGCGGGGGGCGAGCCTTGGCTTGCGGGGTGCGAGATCGCGGCGAGATGAGCCGAGGCTGCTCGAGGCGTAGGCGGCGGAGAGCCTCTCCGCCGACGGCGAGCTCAGGACGGCGCTGCTCTGCAACCGCTCCGCCTGCTACCTGAGGCTCGAGACACTTCCTAGACACCTCCTAGACACCTCCCACACACCTCCTAGACACCTCCGCCTGCTACCTGAGGCTCGGCTACCTCGCCTCCGCCTGCTACCTAACCCTAACCCTAACCCTAACCCTGCTACCTGAGGCTCGGCGAGGCGGAGTCGGCGCTCGAGGACGCAAAGGCGGCGCAGCGCTGACATGCCGAGCAGCCAAAGCCGCGCTACCGGCAGGCGCAGGCGCTGCAGGCCCTCGGCCGAAACGGCGAGGCGCGCGACGCGCTGGCGGGCGTCATCCAGCGCTCACGGGGCGGCAAGAACGCGGACGCCGAGCGGCTGCTGTCGGAGCTCGAGGGGCTGCCCGCGCGCGGGCCCGCGCTGCCAGGCGCGAGGGCGGGCGGCGGCGGCGGGGCGGGCGGCGGCGGGGCGGGCGGCGGCGGCGCGGGCGGCGGCGGCGGCAGGCCGCCCGCGCGGGAGGACCGCGCGCAGCGGCTGACGGTGAAGGAGGTGAACGAGGCGCTCGAGTCGCGTTGCGCAAAGGCGCGCCGCACCGGCCTCTTGACGAGCCGCGGAGGCCGCCTGCTGACCTAGGCCTATGCGTCCACAGGTGCGCGCGCTGCACCGCCCCTTCGACGAGCTGCGGCTGCACCACGAGCTCGAGCACAAGCCCGACCTGCTGCTGCTGACCAACTTCGACTACACGCTGCTCGGCAGCGGCATCGTGACGGCGCTCAACAGCCTCAAGGCGGAGGAGCTGCTTCGCCCGGGCACGGCGGTGCTCCCCCCCGCCGCGCGCGTCTGGGCGATGGCGGTGCAGGTGCTCGCGGACACGGGCGTCCCGATCGACTCCTCCCCCGCCGAGAAGCTGCTCTGGTCGCCCACTCTCCGCCGCGTCTGCCTCGACGAGCCGCACGCCCGCCGCACTCTCCGGCCGCTCACCCGGCCAGCGGTGGTCTGCGGCTTCGACTTCCGCGCGACCGCGCCGCCCATCAAGCCGGACAAGTGCGCGCTCGAGCTCAGCGTCGTCGAGGACGGCCGCGCCAACGCGGTCGTCTTTTGGTTCGAGATGCCTCTCGGCGCGGGCGGCGTCGTCTCCTCGGCGCCCCTCGCCGCCCTGCCGGCCGGCGCGGCGCAGCTCGGGCTCGGGCAGGCGCTCCAGTACCTCGAGCCTGCGCCGGTGCGGGAGGGCGGCCGGCTGCTACTGCACGCGTCGCACAGCCGCACCCGCTTCCTGTTCTCGCACGCGGAGGTCGACGGGAGGCCCGCGCCGCTGCCGCCGCCGCGGCGCCGCCTCTGTGCCGCGGCGGACGCCTCGCCGCGAGCTCGCCGTCCACTAGTCGTCGATTCGCTCCCCAGGCGCGGCCTCGTCCTCCAGTCGCAGCTCCAGCTGCTGCAGGACGCGAACCTCAACCGCACCATGGCTGCGGCGCTGCGC